GTACTTCTTAAAGTACATTTCATGTAATATGAGAACTAGCCCTGACTAAAGACCGAGGGTTACCATAAAAAGACACAAACCTTGCTTAAAAAAATGTTGTTTAACTACATATAATTTCTTACAATGGCATGATATAAATGTTCTCGTAGACCCACTTATGATAAAAAGGGGATATACCGTATCGTTTACTCCTGAAATCTCAGCTTTGCAAACGTAAATATTTCCAATTAGTGACTCTACCCCAAACTACAGTGATTTAAAGCTACCTGATTTAATTTTATTCCATTCACGTTTTCATTTTTCCCTGAGACAATAATGAAAATATGAGTTAAATTTATAGGAAAGCAATAAAAAAGTAAAGCCAGAGGTTTCTTCAACCTTCATTTAGCGTTTGTAAATGCTTGTTTTGTGACTGGAGTACTGAAAAGGCTGTTTTTAAAAATCGTTTGTCTGAAACGAACAATAAATATAAGTGGGAGCGGCGTATTAAAGGCTGGAGATTTCCTTAAAAACTGTTCATACTCGTGGCTGTGTAATTAGGAATTAAGATAGTAATATAAGCGCTATAAAACGCGGTCACCAGAATGTTTATAATTTTAACACCGATGCCTTTAAACTGTGTTTTCAATGCTCTAATGTAGTTCCTCAGCACTCTCATCCGTCCGGAAAGCCGGTCGGTTGGCTGAGCGTTTATTTCCGTATGCTGATCTTATTTATACACCGCAGCAGGGGAGCGACTATTTTTTTTCCCTAAGTTTTAAATCGAGACCTGAGGCTGCGGGGGTAGCGCCCGGTGAGGACGAGGGGGCCGAGGGGCTCGGCGGGCGCTCGGGGAAGGGCCGGTGCCCGCCGCGGGGGATCCGGCCGGCGGACCGCGCCCGTCGGCGGCTGCGGCGGGCTGGCCCGGACCCTTCGCCTCCCTCGGTGCGCGGCCGTCCCGCGGTGCTGAAGCGGGAGCAAAACTTGCCACGCAGTATCGATGAGCCCTCCCCTAACCCCACTCGCGGCGGCTGTTTGAGGGCCGCCGTGGCCACGCTCCTGGCAGGTTGGGCTTGGCCTCGGCTGGACCGCGCAACAAAGCTCCCCACGGTTCAGGCTAGAGCTGGGTCACTCCAGGCGACAAAGGGCTCTGTGCGCGATGAAAGCGCGGGGGCTTCCCCTCTCTTCCGCAGCCCTGTTCTCTTTTCTCGTCTCCTGAGCTAGGAGCACGGAATGGGATACTGCACGCTCTGTGGTCCTGGAGGCTGGGTACAGAGCGGCCTCGTCATCCGCCTCTTTTGGGTCAGTCGAGCTATGTAGTTTGAACCCGGGGAGTCCAAGTGTCGGGCAACCGACCCGGCTCCCTCTCGTTCCGGCTCGGCCGCAAAGCTAAAGCCCGGGCGGGCGCACGAGGTGGTGTGTTCGGGTCAGACCCCGGGACGAATATCAGGGGGTTCCCCACGGCCGCCGGGGCACCGTGAGCCGGGGCCCGGCGCGGGATCAGCCGGGAGGTCGCCTGCGCCCCGCGCTGTGGGCCGCGCTCGTTTTGCGCCCGAGGAAGGTGACACACACAAGTGGGAGCAGGGGCCGGGCTGCTCTCATCGGAAACCAAAAAAGAGCTCCCCGCCGCCGCTCAATGCGACCGTTCCTGCCGGCTCCCTAGTGCCACCTCTTCCTTCGGGCTGCAGCCCACCTGGCAGCGCCGACAGCAGCCCGGCCGGAGAATCTCCGGGGGAGCGGGACGTGAGCGCTCCAGGGGACTTTCCTGCCTCTTTTAAAATTAAGCCATGCTTAACCTTCTCTCAACCCTTTTGAGGGTCATCAGTATCGCTGGGACAGTCGTTCTAAGCTTGCTGTTCACCCTGTTACAGGAGAGTTGGAAGTGCTAATTGGCCCTCGACACACGCTCAGCCGCAAACAAGGGCAAGGGAGAGGGACGAGGGCGAAGGTGCACTTGGGATGTACAGAAAAAGGGTTTACAGACTACCTAACCTGCGCCTATAATTTTTTCTGGGGTTGATAATGTTTGACTGACTAGCCGCCGTCAGCTCCTCGCTGTCAGTTTTACACGCCACGTCTCCTTAGTGAAGACGATTAGGCTCACTTGGGGGGCGGAGGGAAGAAGAGGCTAATGATATAAATATGTTTTCCTTAGTGACCGCTTCTAAGGATCCCTGCTGGGTAGTTACAGAAAATCACGTCTTTGAAGGGAAAAGGACCCTATGGATATTTTACTCTCTGGTGGCGTCTGGCTTCAATGTTCGAAAAAGATTTGCAAAAATCACACTGTGAATGGCAGAACATGGCCATAACCTTCCTGTAAATGCCCCTCAAGATTTTCGAAGGGAGGATAGGAAAATATCTTTCTAGTGAAAAACAATGTATTTTTCCCTCCTGAAGTCTAAATATGTTACTCTCCTACATCAAATAAGCACTGCCTCACCAATTGCCTAAACACCCAGACTGCATTTTAAAGTCCGGAAATAAAAGTAACCCCAGAAAGGTGTTTTGGATATATATATATATATATTATTCCATTAGAGATCACTATATATATAGATTCTTCTCTCTTTCATCATCCTATAAAAAAATTAATCGGACAGACATATGGATAACAGGTTGTTCGATAAATTTAAATCCAAATAGTTATTTCAAAAAATCAAGAAATGAAAACAACATGCCACATAACCTACAGAAATCTAGGGAGGAGTAAAAAAATCAACAACAAGGGGCATTCCTCTAAAAATAAAAACAATCCGGGCGATCTGTCCATCCGCCGTAGAGCGGCAGGCTGCGCGCACCCCTCTGTGCGGCGCGGAGAGATGCGGAGCAGTGCGGAGCAAAGGGTCAGGGTCTCCTCGGCGGGAACGCGCGGCCACTGGCTCTAGAGGAAGGAAAAAAAGTAACAAACGGGCAGGATCAACAACCCCGTGCCCAGAAGCTTCTGCGGGACCTCCGCGGCACCACCGCCGCTTCGTCCCCGTCCCTGCCTGCGCGCTGCAGCCGCCTTCCGCCGGCGCTGCGCCGCGGAGAGCCCGGCAGAGGAGCGGAGCAACTCGCCTCTACCCCGGCAGGTCCCGGCGGCCGCTCGGGGCCGGCCCCGCACTCCGCGCCCGCGCCGAGTTTCTCCGGTAGCTCAGCCTCGCCCTAAAGCCCCCGCGCCCCCCGTCGCTCGCACCCGGGCCCCGCCGCCACGGAGCTCGCCCTCCTCCTCCCGCGCTCCTCCGCGCCCCTCCCGGGCCGCGGCGGCGGGGGTCGGTACCTGCTCCCGCGGGCCTCGCCGGAGCCGTCGCACCGGTGGCGGTGGCGTGCGTGGCCCGGCGGCCGCGGGCGGCGGAAGGTACCGTCGGAGATGGGTGGGCGGGAGAGGAGGCTGCGGGAGCGCCCTCGGACAGATAGCATCCATTTCCTTCCTTCCTCTCCTCTATCGATCTCATCTCCGCCGCGACGGCGTTTAAACTCCGGCAAGATCCTCTATCTTAGCACGTTTCGATCACTCTCGCACATCTGATTTCCTTCAGATTCAATCAAGGCTGGAAAGGCAGAGCAGACAGACTTTAGACCACGGAATAGTTAATGTGTCCCAGATTTAATGTAAAGATTAACTCCACAGCACTATTCGTCGGTGACAGGCACTAAGCATTTTCTCCTATCAATTCAGAGCGGCAGCAACTGCAGGGCAATTTTTTCGTAGTGACGAATTTTTCTCAGACAAGTTGCCATCTCTTCCAATGTGGAAAGAGTTAGTGCTCCTACGGCGGTTTCGTTTCTGTTTTATTTTTTCTTTAATTAATTATCTTTCTGTCACATACCTAATTTTTCACGTCTGGAAAGTACTTTTACAATTTTAACGCCGATAACCTTATTCGAAGGGATAATTTATCTCTAGGGTATATTTATTAATCAGCCCATTCCTCACAGTCTCTGACGAAACAGCTATTGAAATTAGCGATAAATTTGCATTTTACGGGTAGGTAAAACGCGATAGTGGAAACGGTTACGTCTCCTAAATAGCAGCTATTTCCGTTTCAGATTACGATCAGAAATCTCAGCTGTGCCACTCGACGGCCCGAACAGGACCTCCAAGACTGTGACTTAGGCGAACCACATCACTTCTCTCCGTTGCCCAAAACAGCATGAGTTTGAGATTCTAGTCCCCTAAACAGTGAAATCTGCCCCATAGATTTTTTTTTTTTTTTTTTTTTTTAAGCTGGAGGGTTTCTATTCTGTCTGTTTCTTTCAAGGGAGCACGTCAATCCATTTAGTTCTGAGGATTAAAAAAAAAAAAAAAAAAAAAAAGGAAAAAAGTCCCAACAAGAGAAGGAAACAAACAAACAAACAAACTCACAAACACAACAAAAATCTCACTAGCTTTTACATTTCCCTGAATATGCAAAGAAAAGAATATCTGGTTCCAAAACTTTAGTAGTTTTACTCACTGGAAAGATACGAAAGAGGATTTTCCCTGTGACTATTTTATGCACCTGAATATGATTATTACTAAAGTTGCTGCGGCTGGATGCATCGTTGTTCATACAAGGTTCGGTTTAGTTCTCGTTTTATTGCAGCCTCAGCGCTAATGGGTTGGGTTTAGCGTAGGTTGTGGATGCTACGCTGGAACCTCAATGCAGCCAGAGCTTGAATAACAACGCGATGAATCTCCAAACGCAACAGTAACAGCAATAATTCCTAATTCCTTACAGCAAAACAGGACAAAACGTCATGTTTTAACGTCCGAACGGTTTTCCCGGCCGAAACGCTGCGCTCCAGAGGAGCCCCCCCTTCCCTCTGCGTTTTGGGGGGAGGTACGGCTGGGGGCGGGGGTGTCCCTTTAGCGCTCATTGAGGGTGCATCTGCCGCGGGCCGGGGGCTCGGGGCTGTTTGGGCCTGGGCGGAGGCGGGCGCGGGGCCGGCGGGGCGCTCCCCCGGCCGCGGCGGCGGGGCCCCTGGAAGGGCGGCGGGGCCGGGGCGGAGGGGCCGGGGCGGCGCTGATTGGGCTGCGGGCGGCCGAGCCGCGCCGCCCCCGCCCCGCGGCTCCGCCCGGCCCCCGCCGCCGCAGTGACACTAATGAGCGAGTTCTTCCCACAGGTCTCCTGCCTGGAAGTGCTGACAGATCAAGGCAACAAATTTCAATTACAAGCCCTAATTTGTGTCCGCAGAGCGTTTGTTACCCATGTCAGCCCTGCCTGGCCCATCAGACGGGGCAGAACGTGGAGGAGGAGGAGGAGGAGGAGGAGGGGGAGAGAAGGAACGCATCTGCAGAAAGGAATAGAATTTTTTTCCACTTTAAAAAAACTCAAAACAATCCCCCCCCCCAAAAAAAAAAAAACTAACAAAAAAAAAAAAAAACTTGGCTGATAACTCGGATTTAAAAAGAAAGGCGAGGAAAAGCCCCAGCCCCTTGCCTGCGCGGTCGGGAGGACGGGAGGGCGGCCGGCGCGGCGGGCCGGGCGCGGGTGCCGGTGCCGGCGGCCGCGGGGCGCCTGGATGCGCGGGCTGTAGGGTGGCGGGCATGGCCGACAAGCGGCGGTCCTCGCCAGTCACCACCATGAGCCTCAAGGCTCACGCCTTCTCCGTGGAGGCTCTCATCGGGGCCGAGAAGCAGCAGCAGCAGCAGCCGCCGCCGCCGCCGCGGCTGCCCAAGCGGAGGAAGCTGGGCGGCGAGGACGAGGCGGCGGAGGACGAAGGCGGCAGCGGCTGCTGCGCCAAGAGCTCTCCCGCCACAGCCGCCGGCAGGACCTGCGGCGACATGGACCTGGGCTGCGCCGCCCGCGCCCCCGCCGGTGAGTGCCGCCCCGCGCCCCGCCGCTGCCCCGGCCCCGCTCCTCGGCCGGGCTCGGGAACTCTTTTCCCCGCCGCGACCGGCGTTTTGATTCCCCGTTATCCCTTCTGTCTTTCCACGCTGCGTGGGCACCCACCACCCTTCCCGCTGGCCTGGCGGTGAGGATCCGCGGCGCCCCTCGGACGCCGGCACGGGGCAGGGCGGCTGCCGGCGGGGCTGTCGGTGCCGCAGCGCGGTGGAGCGACGGCGGGGGGCTGTCCCGAGCCCTGTTTCGGAGGAAAGGCAAAAGCGCTTATATGACACATATACGTATGTGTGCTGCTGAGAATGCATATGCAACTATGTATATAATTATGTGTGCATATATATATATATATATATATATATATATATATATACACGCACACAACACGTACATATATGTGTGTGTGCAATTTGCTGTGTGTGGAGGGGAGCGCAGTTTCACGCTGCGGGGCAGAAGGCCGTGGCCGAACGAAATGCGCTGCCGTCCTCTCTCCCCGGACGGGATGCCGCCCGCCTCGGTCCGGGCACGGCGCGACGATGGGGCAGCCCGTCCCTGGCGGCTCGGCCGTGCTGCCGCGGCCGGGCTGCCTCCTCCCCGGAGCCAATGTGCGGGCCGGGCCGGCGCAGGCCGTCTCTGCCGCCGGGCTGGCGGGTCGGCCGGGACTGAGGGAGCCCTCGATGGCGAAGTCCGCGCTGCCCCGGCCGCTAGCGCTCGCTCCGCTCTCTCCGCAGGCGGCTGCGAGGAGGGCTTCCTGGCGGGCTCCCCGCCCGCTTCCCCTGGCGGCTCCCCCAAGGGCTCGCGGCCCGGCTCGCCGCTGCCCACGCCGCAGGCACCGCGGGTGGACCTGCAGGGCGCCGAGCTCTGGAAGCGCTTCCACGAGATCGGCACGGAGATGATCATCACCAAGGCGGGAAGGTGAGGGCACGGCGGGGCCGCCACCCGCGCGCTCCCGGGGAGGGCGGGCACATCAAAGCTCCCCAAAACCGGGGGAACCCTCCAGATTTACGAGGCAGGTAGATGGCGATAATGTTAGATGGGCACGGGAGCATGTGGCGTTTCGGGTTTCCTGTTCATTAGGGCCAGGTCTGGGAGCCCTGTGCCCTTCTGGGGGGAAGCCTTTCCCCTTTCCAGGGGATACACATGGTAAAAACCTGGGAAGTATAAAAGTATTTGAACTTATTAGAAATTACAAAAACATATTTTATTGAATCCATATGCTACCGTCTGCATTTCCAGAGAGGCTTTATTAGTGATTGAAACGCGGTCTTAAACAGCACAAAGCTGCATTTGTCTTAAAGGAGTCCAGTCGGGGAATTTTTGTTTTATCTTACAGGTGCACTGAAATAACAGCAAAAACTAGTTAGCCATAGTCAGGTTTTTACCTCCCTACTTATTCAGAAATGGTGGAGATAGGATTTTTGTTTCCAGCAACTACTTTTAATAGATTGATTTTTAATATATATATATGTATTTGCACAGCAGCAAATACTAAGTAAACTGGAATAACTTTCAGGTTTATAAAATGCAGAAGAGTATTTTATTAGCTTGCAGTCAGGAAGTTTCTTTTTTCTTTTTTTTTTTTTTTTTTCCCTTTGTGCTTCATAAATGAAGTTTTCTGATAAAAAGCATGCCAAGATAAGAGCTAAGGGCAGTTTTATGTTCAAACCACCCATTGGTTAATTAATCCTTTTCTCCACAGAAAGATCTAAATCTTGAACGTTTGGATTTTCGTCGTTTTTGTTTGAATTTTTTTTTTCAGAAATTTGCTCATAGATTCGTTTCTGCTTTCAATAAAGAAGTTTTACTATACCTTTCAAAGACAGAGTAGCTCTCGCACTTCACCTTTAGTAAGTTGCAGACAGGAAGTCCCGTGTCAATAAAGACCATATTGTTGGGTTAGAGCATGGCACATTGGCTTTTATAACTGCATCCTTGCGGTGTTATAATTGTATCAGCGTAGATTTAGCTTTCTAATTCGCTGCTACAGCAATGATACACCATTTTTCTGCTGTCACTTGAAACTTTAGTGGCGATTCGCCTTTCTGTAAGCCTTGGGCTTCCTGGGTGGAGGTGGCGTTTGCACATCTCCAGGAATACATTTCTTACTAATATCTCAAATGGGTTTTAAATGTGTGTACTGCTAAAGTAAAGTCTCAAACCAAATGATTTACTGTCTAACAATAAAGTTGAAATGATGTGGTAATAGCTGTACTCCCAAAGCGTATCCCCAAACATACAAAGCATTGTTCGAGTAAATGCACTTTAGAAATCTGTTTTGACATATCGAATGGGCCATTTCATGGCTATGTAACTATAATCGTCCAAAAGGACTCTGTAGGCTAAAAGGAAGAACTAGAAAAATCCCACGAAGCGGTTACTTTTCCTAAACAACCATTCCCGAGTCTGTTTCGTATTAAAAATGACCTCTCTCTTTCCAATGTTCAGGCGGATGTTTCCTGCAATGAGAGTGAAGATCTCAGGTTTAGACCCACATCAGCAGTATTACATTGCTATGGATATTGTGCCAGTGGATAACAAAAGATACAGGTATGGTGACTTTAAGGCAAAAAACATATGATGTAAGCTATAGGGTGCTTGGCTGTTGGAAGAAACTATTAACACAACATAAATTAGCAGAAGATCATATTTAACTCTCCTTGAAGGTTCTTATTTTCATCACAGTGTATTTTAAAAGACCATATTGTACCAAGTATGCAAAGGCAACTAAAATTCGTGTTGAAGCTCTTCATGATACATTCCCCTCACACTGTGTTTGTCCTGTGGGCAGATGCCCAGGTTTGGCTTTCAGAGTGCAGCTCTAGTGCGGTCAGGAAATGTTATAATATTTTATTCCTCCTCCTGTCAGTGGGAATTATTTCCTATTAACAAATAAATATGAAAATGTATATTTTTTGGTACCAAATGTTATTAACATTAATTAATAACATTAATAGCATGGATATCTGATTTAAATACTTACAAGCTATCTTATAAGTAAGTCATGCTTCAAATTGCTTATAGAATTTAATTCAGGAACTGTATCACTGAGATATTTGGTTGCTTAAACTAAAAGAATGGAATATTTCTAATTACTGTTATTTAAAGAATTAATGGCATTATTGTCTGGAGAATGATGTGAGGAACAAGAGATTGTTCTTTGAATATTTAGGAGTAGAAATTTTGTGCTGAAGCTCTCACTGTTTGAGGTTAGCTGTGTTTTGAGGGAGCTGGCTGGGCTCAGCAGAAGCCACTTGTCCTGTAGAAATGATTGCAAGATTGAGCCCGCAGCAGTTCCTGTTGTGAGTTGAAGCCGTTTCCAAGGTCTTGCTTTACAAATGCAATCCTATGCTCCAGAGTAGCCAGGGGGGAAGCCTGGCCAGAGTAGTTCAGAGGAGACAGGATCAGGTCTTTACCAATTGCGGGTTTGATTGTTTTAACCTATACTTAGTATAATGTAGGGAAAACCACTGCAGAATTAATTCTAGAACTAGGAATATTTCAGACCATGATTAAAAGGTTGGTTCTGCAGGAATGCTGCCTTGTTTCCTAAGCAAATGCTGCCCTGTGTTTTTTCTTTACTTACCTCATTGACTGCTATTTTGTAATTTTCTTGTGTGGTGTATAAGACCTTTCTTAGGACCATTTTAGATTTTGAGTTTTTCAACAAGAGGCACCAGATACCAGGGCTGACAATGCCCAGCATATACAGTCAGGGGAGTCTTTCCTGTTTCTACCATGGAGTAAAAATGCTTCTTTTTCCTTGTACCAGTGCAGTGCAGTTCGAATGGAAGCTTTTTTTTTCTTCTTTTTTTGCTTTGTGTTGTTTTGTACATTTATTTAACAATCTAAACATATAATTCCTAGAAGGTCTGAACAATTCATAAAAAAAGCAAGGTAATAATTCCAAATTAATTTAAATGTTAATACTAAAATTTAAAAGCAATTATACTGAGTATGAATTGTTTAAACCTCATTTCATTTAAAATAATTACAGTCATACTAACTTGCACCGTCTTCACAGTGTGGTACATGGTGCCCAGATAACTGAAGTAACAAGAGTTGTACGAAGAGCGGTATTTTCTTAGTTGGCAACCAAGTTTTTTTTTTTTTAATTCATGTATTAGTAACTATACCTTTAACCTTTCCACTAAATTTTAGTGTTTACATGTTTCACGTGGCGCCTCTTCTCATTCTAATCTGTGCTTTTTATTTCTGTCTGTTATTTCCATTCTGGCTGTTTTTGCAGCTTCACACACTGTCTTGCAGATCTTTAAATTTCGTAGAAATGACAACGGTCACATGGAGCCTAGTCTTTAGCTGACAGAGCAGATAGCAAAACTAATGGAAATAAAGAAAATTACATCTAGGTTTGGATTTCTAGCAAAATTTGGCCTTGCAAATATATGGAAACTTACGCTGTAGCTCAAAATGTGTATTTGTTACTAAATTTGTATTTATAACTTTATTTACTTTTCTAGGGAAAGCATTTCTTTAGCATAAACCAAGAAATATAAAATAAATGAAAAATGTTTACAACAGTGATCTGAGGTGGAGAATTTGTCTCCAGCAGAGAATTTCACCAGCATCCTAGGTCTTAGCTATGCAGCTTGATCTGAATTGTATGGAGCGAGTCCTGCATTGGATCATTCTGTTTTTTGTTCTGACTGTGTTGCTTGTCTTTTTCTAATAAGGAACTAAATTGTGCAAAGATATAATTTGTTAAAGTCTTTATTGTTTTCATTTAAAAAGACAGCTGAATTACTGGATTTTTACTGTACTTGAAAAAAACCCCCTTTCAATTAATGCTTTTTAAACTGCTTTGTGAAATGCCTGCCTTCAAAACAGGTTTTTAACCAAAGCAGGCACAATTTTTGTTATAAAATCATCTTGTCAGCATTGGCCTATCAAATGAAATACAGACTTCATGTTTTCATCTTTAACTTTTTTGCAATACTATTCAAGCCTATTAATAAGGTCTACTAAAATATCAAGAGCATAGTTTCACATACTTTCATTGTTTTTTTCAATCATAATGTTCTTTCCCTTCATAAGCTTTATTTATAGAGTCTTATGTTAGATTCAACATGATAAATCTTCCAAATATGGAATTACTACTCAATTTGATAAAAGAAGGACCAGATTCTTCCCTATTTGCTGATGCCTTTTCAGAGCAGAGCTGTAGCAGTCAATGAACTGACACCACCTTAAAGCTCATTTTGAAACCTAGTGTTGAGACAGTGACTGATTTTAGGAAGAGTAAGGTCAGGTCAGAGCATGGATTTTAACCTTATTTTCGCAGGTGCCAGGATGACGTTTTCAAACAATCAAAAAAGAATTCTTTTTATTTATGCAAAATTGTGTCCTTTCATGTTTTGTTAATTGATGGGTTTTTGCTGTAAGGACCCTAATTTATTTATGCTGAATGGGTCTAATAAATTCTTTTGGTGTTTGTGGTTAAAGGTGTTTGTTTTCCTTTTACAGGTATGTTTATCATAGTTCCAAGTGGATGGTGGCTGGTAATGCTGACTCCCCGGTGCCGCCTCGTGTTTATATTCATCCTGATTCACCCGCCTCGGGGGAGACATGGATGAGACAAGTGATCAGCTTTGACAAACTGAAGCTTACCAATAACGAGCTGGATGATCAAGGGCATGTGAGTACTTGCTCTTTCCTTGGTGGCATCATGTGTAGGCGCATTGCTCAACCCTGAGAGGCTCTGACGTACAGCTTCGGAGCGCCAGAAATAGGCTTAACTTATCAGAGTTGTTTTGGAACTTTACTGTCCACATCTAAAAGCTTCTTACTTTCTTCCCCGATAATTAACTGCTTATTAGAGCCTGCTGTTTTACTCCCCGCTCAAATAGAGAGCTCCTTCTGCAAAGTAAGTCTTTACAAGGCTAAATTGCCTAATACAGAGGGGCAGAATTGCTCTCAGTATTTCCCACGGAGCATGTTACTCGCAACTTCTCCTACGATCGAAAAGGACGCCTAAATTCACAAGTCGCTAGGAGAAACCTTAATAGTGTGCAATAACTTCACGTGAATAAAAATACACTTAAGTATTTTCTTAACCTAAACGTTTGTGTGAAATCCCATGAGGTGTTAATAATTGCAGTCAAAAACGAACAACATGGGAGCTGGGTTTGCTCCGATGATGATTTATTACATACCTTATGAAGCAAGACCCTTTCACAGCTGAGGCTCATTAATTCTGGAAAAGCTGGCGAAGACGTATGCAGTATGAGTGTTCTGTTTGCAAGTTCTAAATTGTTTAGTTATGACATTATCTAATGTGACAAAATGTGTTATGTTAATATTTCCTTTTCTCTTCAAAACTGTTGAAACATGACAGATGTAAGCCAGTATCATTCCAGCAATCCCTAAAATAGTTTTACTTGACACCTTAAGAAATAATTAAAAAATGAGGATTGTTTTTAGTCAGGATGAAGTCTTTGATTTTACAAACCACTGTAATAAATGACAAATGTTGGAATCCTTTCAGAAGGAGCATCAAGTTCCAAGTGGTAGTTTTAAGATGTTAGAGGAAAGTTTTGAGACAGGATGTGGATTCCATTGTCCTTAGTGTAACCCAATTTATTAACCAGGATACTTTCTCCTTCAAGGAAAGGAGTGAAAGAAAACATACCTGGTGCAGAGCAAAAGATACCACATTCATCTTTCATTATGGTTGCAACTCTGTGACATTGAGCCAGGTATTTTGCTAATAGATAGTCTGAGTTTTTTCCTCCTTATTTGTGTTTGAAAATGCAGTGAACAGAGGCAGGAATACAGGAGCATGGCTGACCTAACAAATGTGATAACAAGGATAAAAAGAGTTCCATTTTTGCAATAGTTTTCCTTATTTTATTTTGTTCTTCCTTAAAAGAAATGTGGGGGTATTCATGCTTCTTAAGTTAGCAGTGCTTTTCTTGGATGGTACAAAAGACGTTTTATATTGCTTCTATCTAGAATTACAGTTATGGAGTCTTATTTGGGAGTGTCCATTTGAGTTAAGGTTAGCACATGAAGTTCCCTTAGTTTTCCCATTTGTTTGTGTATTTGTGATTCCTCTCAAGAGGGACTTGTTTTCCTTGAATCTTGAGTCTATTGTAAGGGCTCTGAAAGTGAAGCAGATGCAAATGGATAAAATGTTGCTTTTCCAGCAGTGAGCTGGTTTTTGTACTCGGTGGGTGCAGAGGGAAGTTCTGTGGGTACTGTGTGGTCCACCCGTGCACTTGCAGTTGCAAACGGCCCTGTGATAAAATCTCAGCTATGCAGAGAATTGTGTTATTCTATTTTTCCATCCCAGATTTTAGCTTTGTATTTATTCTGAACTGAAACCTGTGTAGTGTACACAGCACACTGTGATTTGTAATACAGAGGGATATAAATTTTCTGGTCTTTAGTTAAGCACTTTGGCTTGGAAGCGAGTGAAGCAAAGCTCAAGTACAGTGATTTGAGACACATTGAACTGATTCAGAGCTATGGCAGTGCCCCTCCTCCCCAAAATGGAAATTTAAGTATTGAAATAAAAGGACAAAAGAAGGATGACTGTAAAATAATTTCATATTTCTCAAATCTGGAAAATTGCAAACATGTCATTCATAATTACCAGAAAAGGCAAAAGCAGAAAGCAGAAAAGTGTCTCTTCCAATGGATACATTTTTTCTTTTAAAGCTATGGTAGTGTGGAATGCTGTATTGAAAAAGCTATGCAGCCTCTGAATGCCTCTAGCAATAATGGAAAACGAATAATCATATTTTGTGATGAATATAAAAAAACCCCAATTGTTTCTCTTAAGTAGGAAGAAACCATTTTTCTCAGGAGGGTACCAGGGGACGGATGGCGAATTAGAAGGGCTAGGAGTCAAGGGTGTAGAATCCCTCCAATATTTGTTCTTGTATCAGAAGTTCTGACTCTCCCTCTCCTGTATGGACATGGGATATATTTAGGTTATTAGAAAGTAGGTTATTTTCCTCTCATGCATCGGCACAGTGGTTAAGAGAAACCTCAGTGGGGTTTCCACCAAGCAGCATTGGCCTTTAGCTGTTGTTCTTTGGGAATGCTTTCCCGGCTTTCTGTTTCTGGCAGTTTAATCCCTGTTGAAATTGTTCCTTTATGCTTCCTGTGCTCGTCAAAGGTATAAACTTTTGCAGAGTTTTTGTGTTAAAATCCTAGGGGTAGGTTTTGATCTTGAAGACTTTGAGGTAAGGAGCTTGCATGATGTCAGTCTAGAGCCCTTTTACCTATTCTAGAGTATTAACTCTCAGAATCTCTGAGAGAAGTGGTCCATATCCATGGGATTAGAGACAGTATTTGCAAATAGGCGCTAAGGTATAATTCCTATACAGTATTTATGTTGTGGTAGTTGTTGGTGGCAGCCAGTTCATTCCCATCGTGTTGCCCTGGGATTAGCATTCTGTAAAAGGAGATCAGCCATCTCTGAGAGACTCACTGCTTGAGCACTTTCCAGATTCCATGCTGCCTGCTGCTATTTTCATCAGCATTTAAGTGGGATTTGTGACTGAGCAATTTTAGAGTGCTGCTCAGCTCAGAGATTTTTGAAGTACATATCTGTACATAGGACACTCTCTGATACATGGGTTCCACTTGCAGTCTGTGGAGATGAAGCAAAATTTGTACAGATATGTTTTCCTTGTGTGTTTCTGATCTCAAAAAGAGTGAATTTCCTTCTTTGGAAATACTGTACTCCTATGGAGTCATTAAAGACACACACTATGGCTTCTGTGTGTTTCATGTAAATTGTGATGCTAAGGAAAAGTAAACCTGGATTTTGCAGTTGTCACTGAAAAGTTCATGGTCTGGATGCTCTTTGTTAATGTCTCTCATCCCTCTCTCATCTGTGGAGTGAGTGCTGCATTGTAAAAGCAGTCTCTCCCTCCAGCTGGTTAGAGCTGGCTAATTTTTCTATTTCAATGCAGTTTTTAAACTGAATTTCAGTGGAGGGGAAAAGTCAACATTTTTTATGCTATTTTCCATGCTTTTCAACTGAGTATTTTTTGATGCCGAGGAACATCTTTTAACTTTTAGTGAAAATGAGGCTGTTAGTGTGTTAATTATTCCTTGGTGGTTGGGGTGGGTTTTTTCCCCATTTGAAAGAGGGGCGAGGCTGGAAGTGGAGGCAGACTGTAACTCTGCCCAGACTTGGCTCCAAGTAGCGAGCTCTGCTTACAGTCACTGGGCAGTTATATGTTCTTGTCACAATGTAAAACTGTGAAACATCAGTATTTGCACTTGCAGTTTTCGTCTTAGTACAGAGGGAATCCGTGCTCCTCAGCCCCACACACTTCCCTAACTGCAGAGAGTCTGAGTGCTTATGCTTTGGAGGGAGGATAAAGGAGGATTTTTGGCAAAAACAGCAGCAAGGACTGTGTTGGTAGTGGGGAGGTGACTTTGTATTCTTGGCACAGCCAAGTTGCTGGAGGACTGGCGTCTCCCCTGTGAAGAAGTATCTGTCTCTCATTTGCTCTGGATGAGATGGTTGTGCCATGGTGGTGCTCATGCTCAGGGTCAGCTCTGAGGCGTTATTGTGGCAGAAGCTGTCAAAAGCCATTGCAAAGGTAATCCCAGCTTTGTGTGGCTGCAGGTGTTCTGGTGGCCTTTGCTCTGCCTCTTACCTGTGTGCTCCCTGCTGCGGTGTCTTCCATCTGATCATGATTTCTTGACAGCTGCTGCGGCCAAAGTTTAATTTTACTTTTTGTGGGAGAGGTTTATTCCTGCATGAAGTGTTTTCATCTTGTTCTGTGAGGACTTTGGAGAGAGAGGCAGGCTCTTCAGCTGTGAGTTGAATGTAATGCCAGTTCATATTTGGGAACACAGTGGGAGTTCTGATAGGGTTTTTTTTTTTGGTGTTGGATTTGAAAGACATGAAGGGAAAGTTGCTGTTACTGCAGATAAACTGTTAGGTCCTATTGGTACTTTTAAATGTGCAAGCACTGTGAAATGGAAAGCCAGAATCTCCTTTTCCTTAGCTTTCTCTTTGCAGACTGTTTTTGGAGTGGATGTTGCATCTCCCTCTCCTTTTATGTCCTGTCTTCATATGTGGCACTTTAATTCACAAGGGCTTTGCAGTTATGCATTATTTAGAGTTCGGAGTCCTTCAGATCACGAACAAAGGTCCCATTGTTAGAAGACATGGTACAAAATCAAGAAAAAAAAAATATTGCTATGAATTTGCTAACTGCCAAAACAGTGTGTCAGCACAGGAAATTTCAGTACAGGACAGAGGCCAGACAGGTTGTTCTTAGGAGATGACATGGATCAGTTTAGCTGTAATAGCCACCCAGATAAGCAGTGGGAGGTGTTCATCTTTGTGCTGCTTTGATGTCACTTGTTCTGATGTGTGAGCAGCACTCTTTGTAGCTGCCAGGGTTATCGTTGATGTGTGGGCCAGCAGTGGTTTGCACCACAGAGCTGATGGGGTCAAGTAATCCGTGTGGGAGAGAACATGGAATGCTCAGTGGCACACAGACAAATGGCGAGGCACGGAACAGCAGCGGACTTGAGCCATGCAACATCTTTTCTTGATAATTTCTTTTCCTGTTGCACCAGTATCTCCCCTGGTACCACTGGGTGTTCATAGGAAAACAGTGTGAGGGATGTGCTGTCCTCTCTGCATTTTCATTTTGTAGATCTTTGCTGTTGGAGAACTGAGTGTTGTATAAGAGAAAACACTTTTGCACGATGAAATATCTTGCTCTGCTCAAGATTTAAGAAACTTGAAAAAGACTTCATATGAGAATATCCATAGGGCACTCCCTGAGCAAATTAATTGGAGCCTGTGATGTCATTGTCAAAACCTTACTTAAAGGCTAATGAAACCTCTGATTATCCAGAAACTTGCCATACCAAATCAGGGTCATGTAATCTGGCCAGGACCAAGTGTATTAGACTAGCCAAACTCTAGGTTATCCAAACAAATGTAATGTCCTCTATATAATTTGGGTAAATGAGCTTCCATAGTGTCTGACATAGGGGCTCTGTTGAGTGCTTGAGCACACGCACATTCTGAGCCTACTCAAGGAGCAGGAAATTAAAAAGCTTCCCCAGAATGTTGATTAGTGGTTCCACAGGCCAATAGCCATAGGACTATTTATTTATCAAGTTACTAATTTCTTAGGGTTTCCAACAATAATAGCAGAACTTCAATTTTTTTTTTCTTGAAATCCTTTATTTTAATAGTGGTTAGCTGAAGTGGAGTAAAATAGAGGAAAAATTCTGTGTTTTAAATCTTCTTTAAAATTGGGGTGCAGTACCAAGAGGTATTTGTGTGTTTAATTTTATGCAGTGTAAGTTCATCCACTTCTCTTTTATGATTTATTTTTGATTGAGTTTTTATATGCTGGGAGGGTTTTTAAATTGAAATTCATTGTCTGTTTTATAGATCGATTATTATTAGCACTTTAGAGTTTTGGATTTTGTTATCATTTTACTTTTAAGTTTATGGTTCTTCACAATGTGAGAGCCTCAGCTTGTGTTCCAATCAAAATTTGTTGCCTTTGGGATATAAGGAAAAAAATTGCTCCAATAACTCATTCTGGAGGTTCCAAAAACAAAAGGCAAATTTTTGCTGCTGTTAATCCTGTTAGGTCAAACCTAGGCTTCAGTGGAAAAAAGTGACAAAAGTTTCATAATTCCAGTGGGACCTGGACTTCACTCCTGATTTCTCTTTTAGTTTTTTTTCCTTTTTTTCCCTTTTTTTGAGCCAGTTTCAATTGAGCCAGTCTCTGAATTTGGAGCTCCTGAGTCGTAATTTTTAAATGTTTAGGGCTGGTAATAACATAAATGCATAGGGATTAGACTACTGTAACAAGAACCTTCAGAGGTTAAAGAAAACATTTGATTTCCAGTAAGTGGCATGGTAAACACATACCATAATCTGTTCCAAAAAGCTATTAGTCCTGAAACAGCAGGGTGTCCTTTCTAACAAATGTTGTCTTTTTCCTTGCATGACTGCGTAGATTATCCTTCACTCTATGCATAAATATCAGCCTCGTGTCCACGTCATCCGAAAAGACTGCGGAGATGATCTGTCCCCTGTCAAGCCCATCCCTTCGGGAGAAGGGGTGAAAGCCTTCTCCTTCCCTGAGACAGTCTTCACTACTGTCACAGCATACCAAAATCAACAGGTAATTTGGGCTTTCTGGTTAGCACTTTACAGGCTTTTCAGAGCAGACTAGAGATGTAAGAGATAGGAGAAAAATAGATACAGTCATTATATCCCTTATTGAAATAGAATGATCTAAACTCTTTTTTTAGTAAAAGTAACTTTCACTTTTAGCATTGCTGTAGTGCCTGGAGGCTATAGCTGGGCCTTCAGAGATGCTGCATGTAAAAAAATCTTTCTTATTATGGAGATCACACAGTCCAATTAGCTTGCTTAATGGTGTCTTGATTATAAACACAGCATTGACGAGCAAGGCAAAGAGCAGTCTAATTTTTAAAGGTGTTCCTGTACCTTTAAATGTAGATAAGTGTCAGGAGAGGCTTTTTAAAACACTTTTGTTCTTGACTCCAGTGCTTTTAATACTCCCAGGACCTTAACATAGAAGCTGAGTTCTGAAGAAAGTTGCAGTTGTTTTTATTAACTGCATTCAGCCTATATTAAGGACAATTTATGTGGATCCACACGGGTTCAAAGTCAAAAGTGAGCTTCAGGTTGTATCGCTTGGCTTTTTCTACCTCTTGTTTAAGTTTCAGCATACATAATGACACCATAATTAGTGTTGTGACATTTTATTAATTCCATATAAATTATTGCAGCTGTGTTTTTTGAAATTACATATGCATCAATAACTTTACAAAGAGAGGAGCAGGAAAGCCATGAAATATAAATATTTGACAATTTTCCCATTTATTAAAATAAATAATGATTATTTCAGGTGTGGTGTGTTTAGCTCGGTTTCTGGTTGGTTGTTTGGTTGGTTGGTTTGGTTTGGGTTTTTTTTTTCATGGAGGATAATAATCTAGAGACAATCTCTCTTTTCACATTTCCTTCTTGACCAGTACAGAAATAAAATTTAAATTTTATTGCAGTTAGACAGTGTACTCTCTTAAATGAAGAATGACATTTGCCTGAAGTTTTTTCTCAGTAATTCCTACTGCCATTTGAAAGCTTTAAATACCTATTAGCGTCTCCAGGGAAGTGCAAAAATAATGATCAGAAGATTGGTCCTTATTTTGCTATTTCAGGACAACCATCTTAAAACCATATAAATATGAAGATGTTTCCTCTGTCAGCTTTTTTTTTTTTCTGTCAGTAGAGTTGTTTTCTGAGCTACTTATCTGAGTTTAATAATATTCACAGATAACTCGTCTGAAGATTGATAGGAATCCATTCGCCAAAGGCTTTAGAGATTCGGGCCGTAACAGGTAGGTGTTGGGAAGGAGCTGGGCTTGTTCCTGCTGACAGAATCAGTTTGTGAAAGCTGTTAAAGGCAAACACTTGTACTTACAGACAAAATAATTTGAGAACTCAGACTCCTTGAGGGACCACGCAAACTTCCCAGTAATGTTCTCTGCTGTGAATTGCCATTGCTACACCTCTGACCATCTAGGTCAGGAACAGACTGGCTCTTGGCTTGACTCATGTACTCAAGTTTCCTTTCAGCAGAAGCAGTGACACACCATGAAGGTTGCAAGTGGACTTAATGTATACTCAGGTCCATGATTTCAGGCTGTGCTTGAAATCTTCTCTTTCTCCTGGCTGGAGACAAGTTGCAGATATGATTGTCAAACTACAAGCTCAGGTTGTCTTGTACATAAGTGGCACATAGCATGAGTTAATGGCTTGTTTCCTCTTCGAGGGGGAGAAACTGGTTTGTGCAGTAACCTTACGTTTAACACTTGCCTAAGAGGTGGGAGACCTGTGTTCAAGTGTCTGTTTAGTCTAAGGAGTTTTAAATCCTTAGGTGAATAACTTTTCTAGCAGGTTAGAAGACCTTGAAATGAGACTGCTTTCCATATCTTCTGTGGCAGATGGACTGATTAATTGCTTATTCTCTCTTGATCCATGAATCTTTCAAAATAGCAGTGGGAAATCTGTGTAGTGCAAGGTGGAGACTTAGGTCTGGCCTGGGCTGCCAGTGCCAATGAGGTATTTTGTCTGATGACTGTTCAATGCAAGCTACTTAAGCCTGTTTCGAATTGTATGTTAAACCATTTCAGCTAAAAAAAAAGCAGTATTTCATTGTGGTGAACAGTATACATCAGTTCCAGCTACCACATTGTGTTTGGTGTCTGCAGCTGCTATATTTATGACCAGGCCTTGCTGAGAAGGGAGCAGACTGTGCTGGTAGGAATGATCAGAGAGTTTCTTTTTAATAGTTGTTTTATTGAGCTTCTCTGTTAGCAGAAGCTACAGCATTAAAGCCTGTTTTACATAAGACCTGAGTTACATTAAAACCTGAAACTGGACAGCAAATGGGAGTACTTTTTGGAAAATGAATAGAACGGATGATGTAGTTGTAAAGATTTGCATTCACTGTAAGTATCTTTTCAGTATGTCTGAGATTTTGTCTTCTATCAAGAAATAAGTATCCGTGTTCTGTAGCCACTGACATAAATAGAGCTTTGCCTTCTTTTGTAGCCTTCTGATTAGAAATTAAGTGAACAGTAGCTTCCAGGTTAATGCAGTGATTGAAGAAGCAAAACATGCTGTGTGTACTTTAGGAAGAAAAGGGTTGCCATACATGCCCTGTTGGAAAGCTCTCTCTTGTCTCTCATAGGCAGTGTCTCTGCTGTGTTTGCTGTTTGCAGAACTATAAAATGAGTACTATGGAACCTCCTAAGAAACCCTGATCCTCTGAAACATGCAAATTTAGGTGGACTTAGAATTTCTTCCATAATGTTACATGAAACAAGGGAAGATGCCCTTTTAGATAGAAAGGAAATAATTGTTTAGAAACAATTGAACAGGTTTTAATGTGGTGGGACAGCTCTGGAATTATTTCAGGATGATGTAAGAGTACTGTATCTGCAACTACACAAATACAGTTAAGGGACTAGTTTTTGTGTTTTTTTTTTTTTTTTTTTTATTGGGCTGCTAGGAATAGTCTGGTTCAGGCATTAGAAAAAAAGCAGGATATTTTGATTGAAAGTTATTTTTCATGGAAATGGATTAAGAAGGCAAGGCCTGAAGGAAGAGCCAGCATCTCTAAAATGGAGAATCTCTAAAATGGAACATCTTTGAATTGGAGCAGCCTTTAGATGAGGTCTGAGTACTTCTGCTCTACAAACCGACTCATTACAGAATTGACTCTGCAAACTCTCTTTTGTTGCAAATTGACATTGTTTTGCTGAAGTCAGTATTGCTGTTTTCTTTTATAGTCTGCATTACTGAATAAGTATGTTTGGGAATTCAACTCAGAATTTTAATTGTCGTGGAAAATTTCTATTGGTATACTCAGTGAATTATTATTTTGCTCTGTTACTAAACACTGAAATTAAATGTTAAGGTTCTGTTATCCTCATTGTTCTAGCTGGTGTGTTTATCATTGAGGCATTTTAGTCTGCAACAGGATTAAAAAAAATACTGTGGTATTTATACCCAGCTTTTCAATATTGTTTTAATGCAGCTATCTCACTCTCCACTGTTGCATGCAGTAATTCTGTTGAATTTAAAATATGCCCTTCTAGGTCATTCCCATTCAGTCCCACAGGGCATTTTACATGAAGCAGTGGCTTCACCTTTTAGAAACAGTCCCAGTGCATTTGCAAAGTGCAACAGAATTTAGGTGCTGAGGGTAGTTTCATTCTTCAGTTGGGCCTTAAGTTTGACCCTATAAAAACTTTCACTCAGGAAAGGACCAGAATCTCTCCCTTTAAATACTTCAGGAAAAACATAACTGTTTTGTTAAATAAACTTGGGCATTTGATAACACAAATGAGGGTGGTGATAAAATGTGGAAATTGTTCAAAGGCATCTTGTATAAATTACCACCTTGGCCACACTCCTCCAGGAGGTGGCTTTTATCTCTACTTTAACTGGAAATGAAAATTCACCATTACTGCAGAAAATTAAGGCTATCTTTTTAGTCCAGGTTCAGCTAATAAGCGCTTTGTAAGTGTTTCCTGACAGACATTTATGTTCCTGCTGCAAGGAGTAGGATCAGAACATGTCAGTTGCTTAAGACTGGGTATTTACATAATTTAAGTTTACAAAGTACTGCTGCTCAAACGCAAGCACTTGTATTTGGTGTGTGCCCGATGCTGACACTCAACAGGCCTCTGGGGCCCAGCAGCCAAAAATAGCACCAAAATTATACCTCTAAATTCATATACTTCTGAGGTGTATTATTTATAAACAATTGTCAGAAAACAAATGGGCCTTTATCTTCAGGAAACAGAATTTTCTAAATAGTGTCTGCCACCATTGTCAACACAGTTACTTCTGTTTTCTCAGGACACTGTTTCAAGAAAATGACTGAAGACTTTTAGTTTCTAAAGGCACTTCGTTTAGCAAAACAACATGTTTTATGTATGGTTTTATTAGCAAAATAGCTGTGCATCCTTGCCTTGCTCATATTCTAAGAGTGATTTTCCATCTCATCAGTAATGACTGGGAATGCTGTTTTAATAGAAGTTGTCAGTGTATCACCTTTATTCTAGGAAGAAATAGCAGATCATCCCTTTTGCAGTTAAAGTTTTAACTGCCAGAGGGATGATCTCTTTAAGAAATTAACAAAACATTTGAAATAATTTTACTCAAATCTTCCCACTCAAACAGCCCTCCCAAAAGGCTCAAAATATTGAAATAGAGAGCCAGGCTTGTGGACTTGGAAAACATTTTGTGTGCTGTTAGCCCAGTGGTTGCAGGTCCCTGTGGTCTCATGGGTAAGCTGTAAGGCTCTTTTCTAAAAAGCAAAATCAACTTGAAAATAATCCTGAAATGTTACTAATTTTTATATGTTTCTGAGATCCAGTATCCAGAGACGTGTGGCAAAATACAGCTTGCTTTCTTGACACCATAATTCTTTTGTTCTAAATAGAATGGGACTGGAAGCTCTGGTAGAGTCTTATGCCTTCTGGAGACCTTCACTGAGGACACTTACATTTGAGGACATACCTGGGATACCCAAACAAGGTAAAGAGTGTCTGTGTTCTTTCAAAACAAAAATGAAAGATGAAGCTTTGCCCATCATACCTTATGAAAGTCTAGGTAAGTTTGTTACTCACAAGACAAAAACAACCAACTAACCACAGACAGCCATCCCCCCTCATCAGAGTTATTCTAAGTTAGAAAACTAATGCTAACTCAACTACCATGGTGATAAAAATGTTAGATTGTAAAGAAAAATCAGATCACATGTGGAGGAGAATGCCAGTTATTTAAAGATTGAATAAGCTATTCCTTAATGTTATGCTCTGGCTAGATACAGAAGGTAGAAATTATTTACAGATGAGTTCTATTGTACACATCCAAACTGCAGTGTAGGAATTACTTGTTTTTTTAAGAGAGGAAAAAAAAAAAAAGAATGAGAGAAGAAACGGTCTCTTAAGCAATGAGTAAATAGGAGGAAGCTTAATTTGTTTTCTTCTTAGAACACCTTCTTGATTCTTAAAGACCTGAAAATTGTTCAGTAAATGGGCCAACAAACTTTATCTGCATCCTAGAGCTTAAAGAAATGGATCTCCTCTCTGTTTTGCTCTTTCCTGCTCTTTGCTTTTTGTTGGAAACTTCTTTGTTTCCACTTTCTCCATTGTGCAGGTTTTGTCATGAATGAGAAAAATATTTAAATGGCCCATTTGGACTTGTACTCTTTTCTGAGTTCTTTTGTTTCTAGAATATACACCAATGCACATAGAAAACCTCTCAGCATTTTCCCTGCTAAATCAGACATATTGCTCCCAATTCTTTGCATTTTCTGCTACCAAATTTACAAATATCCAGTCTGGTTTCCTGATAATGTATTGATTGCAAAGTTGTTAAACATCTTCAGAGCAAAAATCCAGAACACAGAGAAATTAAGAAGAATCTCTTTTGTCAGCTTTTTGGTTCACTCCTCTGAGAAATCTTGAGTATTCAGTCCTTGATAGGACTAAAAGAAAGTTTTGTGCCAAGTCATAGATACATTGGATGAGTGTTGGCAGAATTTTGGGCATAGCATGGGGGTGAGGGATGATCTCATCAAAAAGGTTTTTCACGAGAAGATAGAATGAGACCTGAAATACCTTGTCAGACTGTGTAAGACTGAAAGACAACATTTAGGAGACAGACCAGCTTTATTGGTTGTTTGTGTATAGGACCATTGTTTGGGAGCAGGGGAACTACTGCCATAAACTTCCTGCTTCCCTTTCTGCTATTGCCTGAGGTTAAGAAGATTGTTGAAGTTACTCTTGGTATTCTGGGGATGGAAACTGGGATCCTTGCAAAATCTTTAGTCATCTATGCCTTGGACATAGACACTTTGCAAAAGACCCCCTTAGAAATTTGTCCTGTTTGTTAACACTGAAAGTGCCCATCTTCAGATAGTGGAGGCATTGGTGAGATTAAAAAAACCCTGTGTCTTATACCAGGATTTCTGTAATGTGGCAGTGTGTAATGGTGCCTTATGCTTGTGGTGTCCCATTAACAGAGAAGCAGCAGCAAGCCGCATACTTTAGTAATACATTTTTTTTTCTACTAGCTCACCTATTATGATAATCTGTTAATTTATTGACAGAATTTCTCTCTTTGCATCATCAAGCTATTTGATTGTTAATGTGATTCATAAACAGGAGGTCTTTCTTGTTAAGTGTCTTCTGCCTGGGAGACTGTAAAAGGCCCCAGTTAATTTTTCCACACTCAGTTTTCAGGAAGATGCAATCTTTTAAGGAAAGGAAGTCTTCCTTGCAGCTGGGAAACTTTCAGACCTGAAAAAAGGCTTCACCTGTAGCAAGCAGTGTGCTTTCAGGAGCATTCAGCAGTGGTATTTGTAATATAAAAAGTTCTCATATTGGCAAATGAACAATTTGCAAACAGTTTGCTGCAAACCTATCCATTCAAGAAATGAAGCAGCTATGTGCATTGTTCAGCCTACACTTTTCCTGAAGGTGTTCTGGATTTTTTGGTTATTCTCAGAATTTTTTGGTTTGAAGTCAGAAGTTTTTTGTTCTGAAGTTGGGAACTTTCCTGAAGCTGTTACCTGTGAGAGCCTCTGAGTTAAGGAGCTGGTTCCTCAGCTGGTGCTCTGACAGTGACAGTCAGGCACAGAGTACTTGAAACACATTCTGGACTGTAGCAAGAGCGTAGACAAGCCAAAAATCATACTTTTGAAGAAGGCTCCCTGTTATGTGGTAGTCACTTGGCTACATCTTAACTGCTATGCGATTTCCTTCCATGTCATATAAGAAGCAGTTAACCTTTTGGGCTCTAAATACTGAGTGATGGTTGTAAAAACATAACTTCAATTCTCTTTCTTGGTCAAGTTGTTTCTTTAGAAACATGCATGTGGTTTACTCACACATTGTCCTGCGCATGTATGTAAAATTTTTTAATTAATTTGAGTTGGATTTAATCTCAAGGGTTATTATAAAAGACAAAGGTCTTGATCTTTCACCTAGGAAGTGGACCTTTCCCAGTGTGCTTCTTACACTGTAATATTCTCTTCCAGGAAATGCAGGTTCCTCTACTTTACTCCAGGGATCTGGCAGTGGAGTGCCATCTACCCACCCCCACCTTTTACCCGGCTCCCCTTGCTCATCTCCTGCCTTCCACCTCAGCCCCAACACCAGCCAGCTCTGCACCCTTGCTCCAGCTGACTACACAGCCTGCGCCCGCTCGGGCCTGACCCTGAACAGATACAGCACTTCCCTGGCCGAAACCTACAACCGGCTCACCAACCAGACCAGCGAGACCTTCGCCCCCCCAAGGACTCCCTCCTACGTCGGCGTGTCGAGCAGCACGACTGTGAATATGTCCATGAGCAGCAATGATGGGGATGCATTCAGCTGCCCGCAGACTGGCTTATCCATGCAGATTTCAGGAATGTCTCCGCAGCTCCAGTACATCATGCCTTCCCCATCCAGCAACGCCTTTACCACTAATCAAACCCACCAAGGCTCCTACAACACATTTAGACTGCACAGTCCCTGTGCACTCTATGGATATAACTTTTCCACATCCCCTAAGCTGGCTGCCAGTCCTGAGAAAATCGTTTCTTCCCAAGGAAGTTTCTTGGGGTCCTCGCCAAGTGGAACCATGACGGATCGGCAGATGTTGCCCCCCGTGGAAGGAGTGCACTTACTTAGCAGTGGGGGGCAGCAGAATTTCTTTGACTCTAGGACCCTAGGAAGCTTGACACTCTCATCTTCTCAAGTGTCTGCACATATGGTTTGATGAAGCCTTTAAGTAAAAGTACAGTATGTTTGGTGTCTACAATGTATTTCTTTTGGAATATGAAAGGACACTCGATGTAGCTTGTAAAGTGTGTGTATATATAATATGAGAGGAAGTTTCACTGAAATTTTGCCTTGCTTGTGGCCAGATTATTCTCCTATTTTGAGTTACACAGAGTTTGCTGCGGTGCAGACTGCTTTAGTTTTCTGGTATAATACACTTAGTTGTATAACACGTTGGGACATATGCAACAAATTAAGTAAGACTTCCTCCCCTTTCCCCCTCCTCTGTTCTAACCCCTTTAAAGAATGAAGTGACACTTGGAGTATTAAACAACACCAAAAAGCCCACTTATATTTCCTATAGTACTCTATAGTGAGTTTCTTTAAAACATTCATACAATAAGCTGATGCATTTTACAACTTTCTTCTGTTATAAGGCATACAAAGGATATTTGGACTTCTTAGTGTTAAGCATCAAGCATCCAGCCTAAAATAGAAGTTTAGCTAATGGATTATTTACAAAGTAAACAGAAAGATTAGTTTGTCTTCTCATGATAAGCTGTTTTTAGCTTATCCACGGCACAGCATTCTCACTTAGGATTTGTTTTTTTTCAGCATTAGTCTAGATTTATGATTATATATTTGAAGAAAAATAATGCGTATCCAAATTGTGGTGATAGGAATAATTCAAACAAACAGCACTAGAAGCAGCATTCCTTTGTATGAAATGAACATTGGGGTGCTTAATTTTTGTCAGAGGTAGGGCTTGATGCATTTTTCCTCCACAAATATTGCCTATAAGACATTTACTGGACAGTAGGATATTCTAATGTATCTTTGTTTTTGTATTCTTACTTTTTTAAAGAACAATTCAGTTTGATTTATGAAAAAAAAAAAAGTGAGCAGGATGAGAAATTCTGTTATTGGTTTTACCTGTTTTGTGTGTGTGAGACATGTTTTTTTTTTTCTTTTGTATTTGCTTGGTTGGGTTGGTTTTTCTTGTTTTTTTGTTTTTTTTTTTTTTTTTTGGTGGGTTGGTTTTTTTTTTTTTTTTTTTTTTTTTTTAAGAAGGGCAAAAGGTCCCGCAGCCTCAGTATAAATACATTACCTGTATCAATTAGGCAGATGACCCAGTTTGCCCAAAAGTATTTCTGGAAGCAGAATGCTCTCATAGCTGCTTTCTGTTGCTCAGGTTTTGTCCTGGAATAGGAGAGGTTTCCTCCGTTCCCACCTCTGGTTTCTAAATGGCCGTTGTAAGAATGTAGATCACCATCTGCTCCTGACCAGACTTCTCCAGAGTGACAAGGACAACAGGGAGGCATTTACCAGGGTGAAATATCTGCCCTCATCTGCACCTGCACAGCCCAGGTGTGTACCAGTCCTTCTGCAAAAGCTGCCTCTCAGCTGCCTGTCTGTCAGAGCTGAACCACGGGGGTTGTGAAACAAATTTTAGTGCTCGAGAGAACAGGTCATCCTCAACAGTTTGCTAATCCTCACTTATACTGTGCAGGTGATGTAAAGGCAGTCTAAGCTGGGTACAGATGTGCTTGAAAATGCTTCCCCAGTCAGCATTGAAGGAGATTAAGGTCTTTCAGGTTTATGTTTGTTGGATTTTTATTGGTGAAGGTGAATTTTCATGTGCCTCAAGTGTTCCTGTATCTTTTCAGGCAAATAGTGGGCTTACTCTCACTTCAAAAAAGATTCATTTCAGCTAATATTTCTTCAGTGGGATGGAGATAATACATGGGGAAACAGCCCTCTTGCTACCTCCTATCTGGGAATAGAACAGCAATCTTTAAGCCCGTGCCTGAAGAATGCTTTCTTTTTATTGGTTATGAACTTGTTTCTGTTAAAGATAAGTATAAAAGTTCCCTTTCAAAGTTAGAAAGAGAAGACAATGCAATTGAGGTGATGTGGGCTTCCTTCTTAAACTTTCTAAGTGACCTTTCTGAGTAAACCTAATTTCACTCAGTCTCTATCACATTTTTTCCTTCTGAAAAACATGATGCTAGCACTTCTCTTCCTCTGAAAAAGGGGTGACAGTACATTGAAGATAAAGATCATCTTTACATTTGCTGTGCTGTGGACAATATGTTACAGATGAATGGCTGGGTAGTGTTCATATATGAATATGACAAGATAAATTTGTGTACTTCAGCTCTGTTGCTGGTCTTGGCAGTGCAGTATCCTTTGAGGCATATTTCCTAGAAAAGACATGAAATGCTAAAAACTTTATTCAAATTCATGCTATTGGTTTATGAAATGGTTCTAAGGTCTTTAGAAGATGGGAAAATTTTCAGCTATGCAAATTATCATAGCTCTATTGGTTTAAATTAAGAAGTAACTTCCGTATAGTTATTCCTGCTCTAGGCAAAACTTAGAAATTTTGCAGTTGGAAAAATACTTAAGTGGAAAGATGATACAATTAATCTGTACTTGAAAAAGCATAAGTAGCCATATCAACATATCAGCTGTGACTAGGTAGAAATATGGAAGAGCTAAATCATTCATGTTCCTATAGGGAGAGAAAAAAAGGGTTGTGCATGGATGTTCATGGCGGTGCTCCTGTCAAGACTATGTACTTTATTGTCTGGGAATTTTTTAGAACTGGTCTCTTATTTTTCTTCAAATTATTCTTGTCATATAATCACACAATATTGTTTTATTTGTTCCTTAAAATTTGAATAATATTGTAAATATTGGTTTGTCATTGTGAAAAGACTAGCTTTTTATCAATACAGTAAATGCTATGTATGCATTATATCTATAATTATATATCTGTATTTTACAAAAATGCCACAGAAAATATATTAAAATGTGTATTCAAACACTTTTTACTACATTTGGAAAACTGAGAGGCTTGGGCCTATTTTTTTCACTACAGCTTCAGCAAGACCAAAGGCAGTGACTCAAAGGTAAGCTGTGAATTTCAGAGACTTAATACAACAAGTCCACAATTCTTTAACCACCTGCAGCTGAACCTCTCTTGTTATTTCTGTTCAAAAGAACAGTCCCAACAAATGCTGTGTATAAGGAGATACTGGGCTGAAAGCAGACCTGTGAGGTTTTTATGTGGGGAAAATGGACTGAGCTGCTTGCCAGGGTCTTTAGCCAATGATGGAACTTTGGTACTTCTCATAGCCCGTATTATCCCAGCTGCCAAGAGCAGTTCAGCTGCCCTGTATCAACTGGATCTGAGAAGTTAGCACTTCCATGAAACTAGGTTCTTGAGCAGGGGCTTGGTACTTTGCACATTTTCTCTCCCTGTATTTCCTTGGTAATTTGCCCTTTGGTTCTGCTAGTTCTAAATGCAAAAAGCCATTGATTTTGAAGGCAGAATTTACAACCAGTAATCATGTGGGTATACACTGTTACTCAGCAATGAGCAGCATTTCTCCCTCCAGGAATACTGTTAGGCATAGTGGCCTTATTTCCTATTGTACTGCAATAAACGATTCCATGTAGGGCACAGGGCCTGAAAATGATTACTTCAGAGACTAGGGTTTCATAGTCACTTAACACCAGCATTGTTGCAAATGACCAGAATTAGGACAAGAGAAGTAGGCATGAAATGCTTGATCATAAATATCAGGCCTCCAGGGAGAATGAAAGCTTCTGTTTTTAATAAGAGAACAGTCCTTTTTTATTATAAATTGATTTTATTTTTTTCTATAACATCATCAGACTCTAAGAGGGCTCATTTATGCTTCAGCAGAGAGACAACTGGAGCAACTTGAAAGTCATGGACATTGTTGTCATTAACGCTAGTAAGCCTGTACCTTAAGCAGTTCAACAGAAAAATATATAAAATGCCCTCAGAAGTAGCTCGCAAGTTATATGGGTATATTTTTCTTGTAAAGATAATATATCTAATTAATCTGTATAGAAGTATGCTTTAAAAGATTGCGATTCATCATAATGAGTTAGTGCTTTTTCGCGGTTGACTGCAGTTAACAAAAACTGTTAATTTGTCAGTTGAGCTCTTCATCAACGTGATCCTCAAGAATCAATATTTTGCCTTGTATCTAGCACAAAGTTGTAGATATGTCAATTTGGTATATGCAAAATTACAGGAAAATTCATTTTTGCCTTATATTCCATCATATTCCTCAGTTACATGGTTGATTCAAAACACTGACTTGACAAGGTGACAAACACTTCTAAGAGGTGATGACTTTCATCATTAAGAAATAACATTTCTAGAGAATTCAAGTTGCTTTAAATTCTTTTTGTCAGTGCTGTTGTGTTCAAACTTTGAAAAGATGTTTGTTACCCAAAAAAGAAGTCCTATGCATTCACCACTTACTCTTGAAAAGCAGTGTTGAATTTGCCGTAAATCCATCTCAGTTAGCTGGTGCCCAAACAGAGCAATTACAACAAAATGAGAATCTGAATCTTCTGCCTCAATTTTAGAATTTGAGGTACATAAAGTAAATTTTTTAAGAAGCATCAGTAAATCTGCTCAAATACTCTGGGCATGTAGCAACACTCAGCTGATTTTCATTTGTGTGTCACTTTCAGAGGTTTATTTGCACTTAAATAGTTAATATCTCACATCTTCCACTACTGCAGAATGAACATGAAGCTTCCATGAGATGGATAAATTTCCAATTTTTTTCTTTGAGGCCTTTCTAAATGTTGGAGGTAGCACCCAGGTTTCAAGACAAGCACCTGGGTTCCAGCTTTGCAGCAGGGAGTGGCAGGAAACATGGAGATCACACATATGGAGCCTGCAGTGCCACCACACATTTTTGGAATGTCACAGGTGCTGTGGTGACACCCACAATGTACAGTTCTATCCAAGCATATCTCAGTGCACCTCTCACAGGAAGCTGTAACCTAAACTGAGAACTGACATCAAAGACTAACCAGGAAGGGCAAAGTATGATGTGAAAATCCTTAGTCTACCTGAAAGCTGGGCCACGGCAGTGAATGTTGAGCATAATCCAGAACAGACTTGGCATTTGTCAATGCTGCTGCCACTTTGACTAATCCACACCCTTATGTTCATTTGCACACCACTGCTTTTATTTAGATGCTATAATAGAGAGCCAAGAATAAATTTAGAGCACATTGAAGGAAACCTGGACCCACTGTGGCCAGTAGTAATGTTGCCACTGACTTGAGCTTTATGGATACCACATTTCCAGCCCCTTTTCTGTTCCAGACTTCTTTACCCACACAGCAGCTGTAGTCATAATGGTCTTGGCCATTTTTCTGTCCATTTGTGATCTTTTTCAGATGGATAACTGGCTTTTTTGCATTTCACATTCTCGTATTTTGTTTTTACATTTGTGATTCTGCAGTTTTTGAGGCATAGACTGAAAGACAAGACAAAGTTGCAACTCACTGCTCCATCCCCCAGAAGCCCTGCCGATGGATGGTGTATCCTTTCCACGGCAGATAATTGACTATATATTTCCCCACAATGATTTTATTGTATTTTACAGAGAAAAGTAATAAAAACAGAGGTTGTATCACAACCAAAGCAGTGTTTCCATTCCTCAGGCAATGTTTTTCAGTAACCCAAAGGAAAACGCCTCCCCACCCTTTCCTGGTTGCTATACTCGGTATATGGTTCTCAGTAAGAAGAAAACCAGATGCCATGCTTAAATGTAAGATGGCAGAAACCAGAAAAGCAGAAAAATGGACCCCAATTCAGGGAAGTGTTCCCAGATAGTCTTTGTATTCTTTGAAGTGCAATATGGACACTAATGCTTCCAGACACATCTGCAAAGACCCTTTGATACGTCCCCCAGACGTTTGCTGTTGTTGTGTGATAAAGGCCTTGCTGATGCAGTGAGCACTACGGATTACCTGCAACATGCTCAGGCAGGGTGTTGTCAGTGTCACACAAGGATGTGCAAGCAAATGCCATTTCTGT